CATCTTGACGAAAAACTTGTTGAACTAAAGTTACACGTTAGCGGAAATAAAAAACCTACGCAATAGCATTTTCGATGGTAGGTAGTACATCACTATCTGTTGCAGTTGATCGAACACAAGATGTATTTCCCCAGAACTGCAAATAATTGTGGAAAACTATACCTCGAACACATGAAAAACAGTACTGCTTCGTTGCTGTTTTCATTCGACAATACCCAGCTCTCTCATCGATCTCCTTCATAAGGAATCCCCACACACTTGGCAAAGCTACGCAGCGCATGCTTGCTCTGAGAAGCAAGTGGATATTCTCCTTGGGATAGAGCACTTGTTTCTGATATTTTTAGTATGTCTGCTCCATATCTATGTTCTCTAAGAAGATATGGCACCATTGGAGTAAACAAGATGACAAAACAACGTCAACTAGATGTTTTTTATGACATGAGAAAAAGTGTTTACAGGAACCTTCAATAAGAGAGAAAGGTCGAAAATTCGCGGAGGAAAATCCTAAAATCATCACAAAGCAATGAAGAGAATCACTCATGATTTCTACTCCGACCTCTTCAACAGCTACATATACCACACCCAATCTCACATCAAGAAACATAGATGTCCTCTAGACCACTCCCTCATTTGAAGCTCAAAAAGAGCACAGGAAATATTACACTTGCGGTAAACTACTGAAGATGCTGTATACTTACTTCATCAACGAACCCTTATATAGAAATTCTAGAAAATTCTAGAAAGAAAATCGCTGACCTACCACTTCAATTTCCAACTCCTTGCTACGACTCGCTAGGTAGACTAGAATTTCCTTGATAATTTGAACATAAAGTTTGTTTCTACTACTTTCGACCTCATTTCGACCTGTGATGTAACTCGACTGATAACTATCCAGTATGAAGAACACTACCATTCTAAAAAAAGCAATCATACACAATAATTTCGACTCAAAAAGTGTCGGACGATCAAACGCAAACTCGCTCAAAGTGCTCGAAATGACACATTTTATGAAGAAAAAAAGTCGCTACTTTTCGCAAAAATAAAGAGTGGAACATATTTTTGCACATAAGACGCTAGAAGGATGAACCCTAACCAAAGACGAACGACCATAAGCTTAGCTCGAGTAACAGAGCAGCAATGGACTTCCCGTTTTTCCAGAACAGATTTCTCGCAATCCTGTACCTACGTGGCCACGTCTATTCATTCACGCGCTGTGTTGATATATACGCAGATTGCATTCTACCAGACAACTCAGCCAAAACCCTATAACAATGTGCATAAGTATGCCAGAAGTCGCACCCAACAAATAAGACCTACGTCTACTCTGGGAGACATTTATAAGGCACCCGTAAACAGCAACAGTAGAACGAGAGTAGAATAATGAGCTTAATTCTTCTGACTTCGAAAGAGTCTCTAGTATGGCGGCTTTGGATAGGACGAGTAAGGAAAGCCTGCTAATACCACAGAGCTATTCCAGCTTGTCTAAAACTGGGAGGACTAAGATGATGATCTGCTCTTATCACTTTCACCTCCACTTATATCTGAGTCCTTTATTGAGGAGCTGGTGATGCAGACTATAAAGATAAGATGCGACGTCTTCGGGTTAGCCGATACGAGAACACACCGCCCATTTACCGTAGTCTGTAATGCTGCATAAGAACTCTCCGATAATACCCAGTAGAATGTTTTGAAAATTCCACATCCGAACCATGTCTGAGTCCATCATTATGAACAAGACCACCCATATTAGCTCATAATTCCAGAAGCTCCACTGTAAGGCTGGACGTGAGATTTTTATAATGAGCGGTTAAAAAAAGACAAAACTCTCAGCGTTGATCATTCCTTGAGTGATGCGCCATGTGTTCTTTATTAAGAATCGTTAGAGATGAGGTAATGCGTATCTGGCCTATACTCGCGGTGGCCTATCAATGTATCAAGTTATTAGTACTGTTATTCCCTCAGACAAATCTGGTACCTATCTGCCGAGACCTGAAGGATGGAAGACTTAGTGGGTCTGGGGCGCAGGATCGTAGGGCGCGTCCAGCCACTGCGCTACACGCACCCAAATCAGCTCTAATGAATGGTATCATGATGAAACAAAAGCATAATAATAAATAGCTTCTGCTTTAGAAAAAACGACGTCCCTATTGTACTATAAAATTTCACACGAGGTCATGCCACCGCTTGCTTTGAGGAAGATTCCTTTTTTCCACAAAGAAAAAGCCCAAAATTCAAGAAACGAGCATAAACCGAGATTTATTCAGATCATTAGTTAGTCTTTATAAAGATGCCGCTGTCAGCAAAGCAGACAAAGAATTCGGCCAGCTTATTCGGCACTTCACGTCAGTACTAAAAACCTGGGAATTCGAATGTCACCAAAAGACATATGTTTACAGAAAGACTGGAGTTAAGAAATACGCCAACCACAAGCCGTTTGGGATCGTTAGCTCATTTCCACACTTAAAACGCTCTGAAAGATGATAGAAGAAGACCTTACAGAGAGAAGAGCTGCAGTAATGGGCGAAGCTATAAAGGTTGGGAACAGCAATTGCAACACTCGTCGAAACCTTGCTAATTCCAGAAATAAGATTGTCCCACTCCTACGCCCAGACGGAACAGTTACAACTTCTATAAGGACAATGAAGAAAATCTTCCGCGACTAGTACTCTGATCTGATCAACAGCACCGTCTCCCTGCCTCCTTAATTAAAATGAGGATATGTTGTTCCACTGCCTCTACGTTCAGAAATCCGACATGCTACCTGGTCAGTGAAAAAGCATACAAGACTCGGCCTAGGCACCATAGGACCCGAACATCTGAAGAACCTTCTGCAAGTGCTCATCAACAAACAAGTTCGTCTCTTTACACATTACTTGTCAAAATGCTAATTTCCCAATCAATGGAAAACTAACGCTCATGGTGTTGTACAAAAAGGGGGCCTCCATGATATCGGCACAGTAACTGCCGAATCTGCCTGCTGTCTTCTGTATATAGACTCTACTCTGTTCCTCTTCAACAGGATTGATAGAACAGCAGACGAAGGACAGACATGTACGCATGCAGGGCTTCGAAAAGGATTCAGTACAACAGAAAACATCCACACGATCATGAAACCTATCAAAGCATCAGGACTGCACAAGAGACCGCCCTGTCTCGTTTTTATGCGCTTAAAAAAGGACTTCGTCTCAGTTGAGATATGAACGCTTACGATAGCTCTGGACAACCAAAGCACCAAGTGCACAAAAACTTCGTGAGCTATGTAAAGACATCACAATCGGAACACTTCGTCGAATTTCCATGTAGATACTGATTAGGTGTAAAACAAAAACGACTATCAAGGTGACGAGTAGATGTTGTGCATCTAGAATATACAGGTGGACTAAAAAGGATTGTAGGTGTAAAATAATGGTTTTTGAGCACAAAACAAGAAATGATTTGTGCGAGATACATTACGTAGGACTACACCTATGAAAAGACACCCTGTAAATGCTTAGCCCTTCCATTAAACCGATAACTTTGAACAGTAAAGAGTACTCATCCTTGGCCCAAACAAACCTCCCATCCGTTCGTGATCGGGAAAGTGGTAACAGACTTGTCTAAGAAGACTCTACTACGATCCCGAAAATCTGGCGATTGCTTGTTGCTAAGATCTGCAAACGCCGTACGCGATTACCTCAGGATTACAAGAAGAATCAACACAACCATCATTCAACGCCATTCCTGAAAAAGATTAGGCCCTTAAGTGGGAGCAGAACCTATACACGAATGCAAAAGCCTTTATATATGACGGACGCGAGATAAAATGAAGTACTTTCCGGGATTTGCAGAATATATGAAGTCAGGCTATGTAAATAAATAAATAACAAATTAAATAAATCGGAGTCAACAAATCGAACCGGCTGAGAGGAACGCAGATCAAGGATGGTGGTGTGCAATATACGCGCTCCCATAGAGTAATCGTGGTCCGATTTGGCTCCGACTCCAATTTTTGCGAACCTATCAGCATCATTGTGGTTAACGTACCGTTTTCTAATCAATGCATGACGTATGCTTTAAACTCATTTCTCAACGTTAACAACGTAATGGACATGTTTTAGGTTGTTTTTGGAAAGTGAAGGCTCACAGCGCACCTTGACATTCCCCCAAAAAAGCCACACTTCAGACGAGCAATATTCTTAGTTCAAATACTAACATAGCGGAACATTACGACGTAATAACGACACATTACGGAAAGCTAGAGACTAATTATTTATTTCACCTGAGCCACGTAACAACATCACAGGTACACCCGTATACAATGTAGATGAAACTTAAAATCCTGAAAGTCATTATAAAATACGCCCACCTAAAAGGATGTCAGAGCCGTAACCTTCCAGTGAAATGAATGCAACTATGTGAATAAGTTAATGAGCTGTATACATCTCAGTGCTGACCATAATAAACTGCTCTTCAAATTGAGCTGAACTCGACTCAAGGAATCTACAACTCAGATAGAAAGATTGTGCAACCAATACATGCAATACAACTCCGTATATCAGCACCAGAATACAGATACAAAGTTACTACCGGGTACAGTTCACTACAAGGCCATAGTGATTTGAGCACGCCGGAGCTAGACTTTATGGAGACTAGCAACTCCGTCTTCCAATTAACTGATTGATTTTCTTCTATTTACCGTAATAAAATGAGTGAAAGTGAAAAGTACACACTCTCAAGTGATATTTTCTTCGGCAATGCCCTTACCAACGGTGGCGGTAGGTGCTAGAAACAACGCAGGTAAAACCGCACACACAATTCAAGCTAACCTAAACAATAAATTAGATTTCTTAATCAAATGACATATCCTGTCATAAAGAAGTGATTTCCTACTCCAGCAAATGAAATAGGATAATACACATTCTTGATTCGTCATCAAGGAAAAATACTAACAAAATGAAAACACAGTCCCAACAAATCCTAATAAACCCACATCCCAGGCTAGTAGAATAGAACGACATACTTTATCCATAAGCAACCGAACGAAGGGATGAAAAACTGGATGTGTCACTTGGATTCATCATCATATAGCTCCAAATGGAGCGATTCCGCCTCATTCCAACTTTAATATTCTCCTTTGCGATTATAACGGCAAAAAATCCAAACAGTAGAAATATAGCGAACACCGAAATCCAAAATACAAACGAAAACGGTAGTGAAGAATCGGATGCGTGCCTAAATGTATAATTGCATGTTCGCAAAAGTAGACGAAAAAACTGCACACCTGGTGATGACGAGATTCGTAGCACTGTTTCGTAATGGGAAATATCGCATGTGGTATATCATTGCACCAAGTGCCCATTGAACTTCTTGCCCAGCAATGTTGAAGGCGCTCTCAAAAAAAATATCATTGATTACAACAAGGACTAGATATTATAAACAAAAAAGATAAAGCCCTCGGCGTTGACCAATGCCTGAGGGAAGCGCAATGCAATCGACATCATTAGGCATCGTTGGCGGTGATTGAATGCATATCTGGCCTTTACGATTACTCGCAGTGGCCTGCAAATGTATCGAGCCAGTGCTACTATTCTCCCAGAGAAGTCTGGTACCAATATGCCGAACTCGGAGGGATGGAAATATTGGTGAGGTTAAGACGCCGGGATAGAACCCATATGTATTGCAAGGCGCTTCCAACCACTGCTCCACACGCGCCACTGCACCAAATTTTAGAGATAAGAATTCCTTTTAATAGCAATCACGAACACTATATAACAAATTTGTAGGTATTTGGGTAAAACTGGAATACTATGTCATGTTTTAAACAACAAGGGTAAAAGAAGTATGTTAGTTTATTCACAAAAACATTTAACTCCAACAACAGCGCGCGAAGTAAGACAAATGTGTTTTCAACAACTTCCTTCTTTTTGTTTAAAAAAAAAAGAAAATATTAACTGGTACAACCCAAATTAACCATAAATGAAATGCGATACTGAACTCACGTTTTTCACAGAAAAATCTAGCCCATTACACGAACCTGGAAATTATTGTGCTCTCTATCCACATCAAAGCCATCGTGTAGGATCGCCGTTATCCATGCCGATTTGAAACACTGACTTTTTAAGCGATCTTCGTTGGATTTTGGGTACAATTTTCGACGTGCAGCAGCCTGAAACCCAATCGATATGGATATTTAATAATAAAGTAACCTAGACGGACCTGTATAGCCGACCAACGTTGCGAGCAAAAATGTTTCGACTTTTCGGCGATAAGGGTATGATTGTAATGTCCACCAAGCGATAGCACTTCGTCCAGTGAATACCAATATTCCGAGAAACCATACAATTTTATCATAGAGAGAGAAACCTGCAAAACCAAAGAACAACAATAGCTGAGAGACGATAGAAACTTCGCTATTAACTTAACTGACCATAGGAGCAGCAACGTTTCCGAAAAAGCAGTTCGGCTTGCAAAGTGATTTTGGCCGTGCCGCCTCCAAATTGTTCAAAAGCTGGGCAAGACGTTTAACGCATCCATCCCAGTCACCAATTCCCTAATTTATTAATGAAGAATCAAATATCAAATAAACGAACACTAATACATTTTCCTTTGGACCTTAAGTAAAGAACTATCCTACCACAAAAAAATTTGGAAATTACTGGACTAGATAACGAAACAGTTTTAATACATTCTGGTATCAAGGACCTCCCAACGGTTTACCGCCCTATCGTAAGTCGCAGGTGTTCCTGGGTGTCGGGCTGCGATGTAATGAGGAGCATTCATCACCCCCGCAGGGTCTCCCAAGCTGAGAAAGAGTCCGGCGTTTCTACCAGGAAGCCCAGCTAATAGTAAACCAATACCAGGAACCACCACCGTCCTGGTATCAAACTAGTCCCATGGTGGCAAATCTCCCCTTAATCCACAAGAGCTGCTACTGTCTGTGGTGGTGAAGACCTGAGGCAGACTGAGGCCAGGCTGACCTCGGGATTCCAGATAACCACAATGGCTTAACCAGCAAAGCCCCGAAAAATGGAAAATGTGCTGGGGCCCACACAACCAGTGAGGACGTCCAAGTAGTATCCAAGCAAGTAAGTATCAAGGAACTGAAAAAACAAAGTACCTACCTTCCTTACGAACATCGAGCCATCGCTTCGATTGATCACTTTTTGCAAGTTGACTGGCATACATTCGTCTCGAATATAGGTGCCGTTAGTAGTCAGCAAACGATCACTTAATTCTTGCTCATATTTTCGTAAACCTCAAAAAACAAAACAACTAATTTTCTATTAATTGATAGAACTTCTTTCAAAGTAAGAAGTGTAGGAAAACACATCAGGAAAAACATAGAAAAAAAAACGAGACGAAAACAAAGACTTCAACACACCTTCATTAACACCATAACCAAGAAATGTCGTTACAAATAGCTTGTACTTATATCTATCATCATCATCGCGACAACCAAGATTCACCTGAACTGCTTCAAGAAGACCGGTTCCAATTTATAAATATACAATCAATTTAAAACACACAACTTACATTTTCTACATTACTACTTCGAAAGTCATCTCCTGGTGACATCTCGAAAGCGATTTGCATACTTGCTCCACCCATATCGATCATACCCACGGTATCTGGACGTGAAGTGTTTGGACTATTGGTGGCTTTGAATTTGCCTTGAAACAGAAGAACTATTAAATAATAATCATAGGAATTACGATAAAGGAAAATGAAAAGAAATAATCTCAAAACAACCTAGTATATAGTTAACCGCAATCCAGCTGTAAATTCCTTCCCATTTCCCTTCGATAACACGAATATGCTCTTTCATGATCTGTGGAGTAAAAGTGCAAAGAAATTAATGTAACAAGTGACATCGAAACATGCTAACAAGAAAAGCAACACAAAAAAAACTAAAAGGTGAACCACAAGACCTAGGGGAGCATGTAGTGCAGTGGTCGGAGGAGTCCTTCAATACACATGGAATCGATTCCCGCCCCAAGGACCACCAAGCCCTCCATCCCTCCGGAGTCGGCAGGATACCAGCAATCACTCGATACATCGGTAGGCCACTGTGACTCATCGTAGAAGCCAGATATGCATTCAGTCACCTCCAAATTATGCTTAAGGCGAATTCATGACGCATCCCTCAGGGATTGATCAACGCCGAGAGCTTTATCCCTTATTATTATCCTTACCAGAAGGCCTACAAAGGTTTTCACAAAGTGGTTATTAACCATATTGATAAGGAACAGGATATGGTGTAAATTAATGGTTCAAACACAAAGAATTTTTGTTACCTGCATTGTAGTCATTTGAGGTAGTTTAGTGTGAAGATTGGTAAGTATGGCAATTTGTTGTCTAGAAATTCAATCTTATGAAGCTAATGAGGAACACGTCAAGAAAGAAGAAAGCAGCATTACTTGATGATAAAGCAGAAAGTTATCATGGAATGAAAGGACTCACTCTTCTGGAATTAGCCTCATTCCAGCGGTTGCCAAAAGGAATACTGGTGTATACGGCAACTTCTCAACAGGTATAAATTGAGAAGCATAATCCAACAGCGGTTTCACATAATCTAATAAAAGCTACCATCAGGTATAATTACGATCCAGCTAAATACATAGAGGCCGAAATCATTTGCTTCCATGAAACAAACACACCAAGCATTTACGTTCTTCTAATTACCTGCAGCTTCTTCAGGACGATCTTGAAATGAGCTAAGCCCTGGATAAACCTTTTTAACAACGTGGTTGTTCGAATGGTCTAATACAGGACCAATCTCAATTAGTTCATTATCTATAACGAGTTAAATTTTTTTCATTCCTCAAAGTGAAGAAATAAATAGGAAGTTTTTTGCACTGATGAAAATTCCAATTTCTTACCATATATTCCAAAATTCAATATCTAAACAAAATGGGGATGAATGTTAGGTCATCAACTGGATATATTCATATTAAGAAGTACTGGATTAAGACGTCCATTATTTCATAATGTTCACCATTTGTAGCCATGTTAAGTGATCCAGTGACACGAGCCGGTAGTAGCCATCATAACTGTCATTCGTGGAAGTTTTCCAGAGAGCTCGGTTGGTTCGAAAGACAAGAAACGCGCTAATTTTTAAGGCAGAGATCTTTTTAACCTTCTTTTCCACGGAAAAGTAGCCATTGCAGAGCTCTACGATGCGAAAGCACTAATATTAACTGTGTTAGTGAGTTAAGGAGTCGAAAATCTCAGTTTAGAAGACCATGCTGGGTAGATGAATCCCTTTCGTACACCGCAGTTAGACCCATGAAACTCCATCGGTCACAAGGCAGAGGCAAACCATTAAATGAATTTGCTCCATAAATATCAAAAAAAATACGAGAAATATGGAACGAAAAGCAAAAAAGATGATAGATTATAGTGGAATCATCGAAAATCTTAAGTGCACCAATGACTGACGAACACACCAAACATTCTTTATTACCTGAATTACTTGTCCACGTGTATAAGAAAAGTCGAGTACCAGTGGAACCAGCATCCATAATGACACCGTACGAATTCTCATCCTTTTCTTCTGAAAGAAAAAGTCAGCATTAGTATATACGATATCGGGGCTTCGACAGAACGTCCCCAAAATCAAAACGCTGCACTAAACAAGGATAATAACTGTTGTTAGACTATTCTAGTTAAACACGGAGACCTGAAATGCGTAAGAAGTTACTTATTTTAAGCTCCCAAAACACCAAAGAGATACGACTTAGAATACTGAGATATGTCACTATATGGGAATATCCACTAATAAATTCAAAATTAGGGAGCGTGTAGCACACTGGTAGTGATGCAGATCATCGTGGGCACGGTACTGCTTTGATCTCGCGCAGGGTTCATCAAGCATTTCATCCTTTCGGGGTCGAAAAATCGGTACCGGACTTGTCCAGGAAAAACCACTTTGTGCAATCTAAGTGGGAATGCTCTGGCCCGGTCATATAAGGGCCCCAGGGAGAATCGATTCGACCAGCATTCTACAACACTAATGAGGAAGGGAAAATCCTCAAACAGCAACCGAAGTCACACGTAAAAGTTGGAAGACCTTCTCGATGATGGATATGAGGAAGCGAATCGAATGTGAAAAGTAATGAGGTCCGCAAAGTACACGTGAAGACGGGAGTCGTATGAAGAAAAATCCAAAATTTCCGTAATAAATTTGTATTTAGTGCAGAAGAAATTCGGAAGAAGACACACCTCCCGCATATCTACCGCCTCTCAAATAGGTGTTGATTGTGTCGGCATGATCAGAATGATTCAGGATAAGATAGAGTGGTATGAATACGATGAGCACTGCGACGATGCACAAGCAACGCGTTGTCATCCGAACCATGAAAGGATCTCTCAGTCGCTTGCCGTCCTTCTGATCATACCGACAGAACGGCAAGGATATGTCTGAAAAAATCAAGGATAAGAGAGACACAAGGCTATGCTACCACAGAAGAGAACTAACAACAAATGGTTACTGTTAACCTACAATATAACGAAAACGAAGAACAGAACTACCGGTAAAGAGAGAGAGAAAGAGAGAAAGTTGTATGTGTTCTCGTGTTCTCAGAAAACTAATGAATTATCCTTCAAAGAGCTCAATGAGGCAGTTTGTTAGTTCGCAATAACAAAAAACCTGGATGAAAGCGAAAAATATGCAGAAAAATAAAACAATATAAGAATAGAGCATCTCATCACAAAAACATCTACACATCCATAATAATCAGTACAGAAAAGTTATCATTACCCTATTCAATAGATGCACAGGTAACAATGAACTTTAGAAGAAACACCGAATCGTTGCTGTTCTGGCAAAGATCCTGCATAAGCCAGTAAGATATCACTCGATCTACAAGGGTTGACCTCTGGTGATATGGGGACGCGCTAAGAAGAGATTCCACAAAAAAAAACACAAATAGCAGAACGAACAATAAACCGGTTTCCATAGGTCACCAAATAACGTGCCCTTCAACGATGTCGGGCAGTTAGACAACCGGTGAGCCGATCAAATCTCGACTTCTTCGGGTCATCGCCATTGGAACTGCATCAAATCAACATCACTACGACACAAGATCTGAAGATTGTTTTCTGTTCTATAATCACAACATGAGAAGAACCTTTCCTAGTGCGCTCTAGCCGAATTGACCCTACTCTTAATAGAGAACGCCCATATAAAATAATAAAGGTCACTGACTTCTATGAAACACTCGGATCTTTACACTCCCTGAAAAGCTGCAGATGACGTCGAGTTTCACGCGACAGCTCTAAAAAAGACAAAGTGTGAGAAGAACAAGGTACGAAAATTAATCGACGGGAGTTTTACTACAAATAAATCGATCCTATCATGAAATGTCATTTCTTCAAGCTTTATCGGACATCGATCCATTGTCGATCTCGCTCACTATCTAAGATCTTATCACGTCATCTGCCCATCTTCCATCTTCAACCTGCGCGCCAAAAGACCACTTTCACAAACTGCAAGTCACAAAACCCTGTTGCTCATGAATGGGAATGGCAAAAACAATTTATGATAAGCTAAAACAAGTGAGGGTGCTTAGTGCAATGGTTAAAAGCGTTCTGCAATAACACATGGATTCGACCCTTAGCCCCAGACTCACCAAGCCTTCCATCTCTCCAGGGTCGGCGCATTGGTACAAGACCTGTCTGAGAGGGTAGCAGCACTGGCTCGACATATTGCTAGGCCACCGTGAGTCACTGTATGGAATAGATATGTATTCAGTTTCGATGCCTAATGAAGTCGAATGCATGGTGCATCCCTAAGGGAATGATCAACGCCGATAGCTTTATCTTTTTGTTCATTAAAAGAAGTGATTCGCAATGAGAAGTCCGACAAATTTCCAGTCGGAGACTTTAACGCTCTAACAGAAAACACAACAAAAAGTATGGAGAATGGAGATGGATGAACGGTAGAAAGAGGAATGTGGAGAAGAAGACAGTCATCTTTGGCAACAAGATGGTGCCTCTTTAACGTCACCGTAGTGCTTTTTGTACAAGATCCGAACATCGCTTACTACTTGCGACGTTTCGATTCTGCACTGCGCTGGTAAACAACGATAACTCCAGAAGCAGAACAGAAGTCTCATACGACGAGAACAATTCGGATGTAGCCCTCACCTATACTGGTGGTTTATGAAAGATCAACCTATGATTAATAGTTGCTCGTCAAAAGATGCCAATGTTGTCACGAATAAACCATCGTTCTTCAACAGTGAACCTAGGATCGTCCCTTTATCAGTACCAAGGAGTTGGTTGAAACGACAAGAAAAAATAGGCCAAATCTTACTACGAAACAACTCAGTTGGCTGGCAATAAGCGCATTCAGTAGTAGATTCTTGCAAGGACATCTACAACAGACAGAAGCTAGGGATCAGCCACCGCGAATATGATGTTTTGTTATCAACTCTGATCACTGAAGATAGGTCTCCTACTATCTCTAACAGTGTTAAGGAAATATAGCAGGAAAATTCTATCACAACGTTTTTCGTCAATAACTGCGTATTCTTGATAAACAGATACGAGATTGTCGATGAGCTAGTCTGGTCATGAAAACTGCTTTCAAGTTTGCAGATTTTCGTGCCATCGAAAAAGAACATAGGACTTCGTAAAAAAGAAGCCCTACGACGAAATACCTATCCTAACTTACCTGATGTGGAACTGTCGAACACACAGTCGTGGAAACCGTGACCGTTCACCTATTGCCCTTCTGGATACAGTGACACTCTCGCCTGAACATCGGAGGGCAACAATCATATTTTTATAGTTGGCAACTCCCAGCGAGCGTCGCGGATAATGTTCAGAACTTCTACAATTTCAGATAGCATCAGTCCCGAAGATCTTTTATGACCATTTATTGCTTCTTTTCAAAGCTTTAAATATCCAAAAATATTGGCTGCGTGGATTTTGTTTAGCTCCATGTTGGCGTATAAACATGAGATTTTGTACAGTAAGATGCCCCCTATGTGATTAAACTTTGGGCGTTTTTAGCACTAATGCAAAGGTGTTAGGTGAGCCAGTCGCATTCCTTGTCGATATTCTTACGACGATTTCTTCTCAAAGACGGTCAGAGAAGCAAAAAGAAAAACGAACACAATGATGCGTAAAAAGCGGATGGTTGGAGAACATGAAGAAGTGAGCGACGTCGATTAGGAAGAACCTTCTAGTCACCGTAATGTGATGCGTTTAGTTACGGTACTCTCCACTGGGAAATTTCCACTTTCAATGTCGAGAAAGAGTCGCTCGGAATCAGTAGAATGAGGCTTACCGTTTGCCGTTTTTGGTGATTAAGACATGGAAAAATTATCAAACTCTGGCATGATGACAACTATACTCAGTAGTGCGCTAAGCTTAGAAGATTAGAAAAAGAATTTATTTGTTTGATACAACCTCCAACCATCTTCTATGCCCTACTTAGGGCCTTTAGCCGAACTGACGTACAAAATACAGTTTGCATTAAAAACAAGCACACTCAAATCGTCATGTATTAATATGTCTACACGCGGAAGGAATACCTTAATCTGACACAGTAGAAACAAGTAGCCCATCCCTTGACTACCACTGTGTCTCAGGGCTAGGGAAAGTCGCTTCTGGTCTCCGCTTAAACCCACGATCTCTGTCAAACTGCGTTCCGCACTCTCAAGAACAATCGACTGAAGATACTTATGTGAGGGAAAATGGTGGGAGTAGATCAGTTATGCAAGAAAATTATAACTTTCTGCTATCTGAAATACACCACGATGACAGAGTTCCTCTATAGTGCCATTAGAGAGTGGAATCCAGCACAGTAACATCAAACCTGTTCATTGTCGCAATGAAGTGAGGAATGCAGCACATGTACCATTATTTTGTTTACTGCATGACCAGCCATCGCATGTTTAACTCTGTGGGAATCCTAGAATTTTTTCATTCGATTCATCCCCTCGCATCCATTGTCCACGAAGATCTCCAAACTTTACGTGTGGTTTCGGTTGTTGCTTGAGGATTTTCATTTCACAATGAATGTCATAGAATGCTAGTCAAGCAATTCTCCCTGGAGTCCTGAGATAGCCGAGCTGGAGCGTTCTCAATTGGATTACGGATAATGAACTTTTCCCTAAGATGTCTAATACCAATTTCCCCATTTCAGAGGGATGAGGCTGGGGTTGGGTCTAGGCGGTGTTGAACCAGAGCCTGGGTAGGTTGGGCCGTCCGCGTAATGAACAGGATCGCTCTCACTGCGCTACCCTCTCCAGTTTTGAAATGTTGCCAATACAAATAACACCGAGAAAGAATCCGCGGTTCAGACCTCCAGAAAGCAACTCGGCTTTAAGATCCACATATTGAAAGCGAAACAGGCAGATCGACCAGACAATACAAAGAGTTGATGACAGTAACTTTTACAGAGATCAAAAACCCCATCTCCGCGAACGAAGAGCGTGACAAGATGAACCTGATGACAGATGAAAACTGTTAATCGGCCCATATAAATCGTAAAGACGAGAGTCATCTAAGTGCACAAGCAAGTCGAAGGATCAAATCTGGTAAGCGCTCCGCATATAACAGTGTCGCCTCCACTCTAAACCATTTACAATCCCAGAAGTAGCAAAGCGAAGAGATGATGAAGATTCTGGAGAATGCAACGCATAGAAATTGCGCTTGTTTCATTTGTCATGGTATAAATGCCAACGCTGAATTACACTATTACACTTAAATTGTAGAGACACAGCAAGTTATCTACCTGGTGTCAATAGAAAAGTTGGCACTAGTAACCTCTTCGTTAACCAAAAAACTGCAAGAAATAGTCACATATTTATACTTTGAACGTATATTTCCCAGAAGGGAGCGTGTAGCGCTGTGGTCGGAGGCGCCTTGCAATGTACATGGGACCGATCCCAGCACCCAAGGCCCACCAAACCTTCCATCTCTCTGAGGCCAGCAAATTGATACAGATTTGTCTAGGAGGAGCATTGGCTCGATACAGCGGTAGATCACCGCAAGTTATTGTAAAGGCCGGATACTCATTCAACCAGCACCAACGATGCTGAATGAAGTCGAATGCATGGCGCATCCCTCAGGAATGGTCAATGAGCTTTATCCTTCTATCCTTTTATGTGAATATTTATAGCAATTACTGTAGAATAGGAAGACCAATATAATATGCGGGAGAGAAATATGTGAGAAATTTTTGATGAAAGAACTGAAATCTTGAAGAGATCTCGAAGCGAAACTTCGATGACAGGAACGGTCCAACTGACTCGGATTTGTTTGAAACCTTGCCTAACGACCTCTTCAAGCCAAAAACCAATAGCAAACCAGTCACTTTGAAATCGTCTGAACCAATCGTTGACA